GCGTGGCGACCGCTTAAATCACTACGCCATCCGTGAAGTCTAAGTACAAAGTGAGAAAAAGTAAATAAGTTCTTTGTTATATTATACAATCATTAAAATCCTAAATTCTTCAAAATATTATAAATTAATAGAGAAAAAGGAAAAACACTGGTCAAGTGATCATCATTATACTTTCTTTTTGTTTTGTTTAAGTATTTACCACATTTTGAGACATGGTTCATAAAAATTGTCTTGAAAATGTATTATATGCGTTTTATTAGTTTATGCTTCACCTTGAAGCAGCAAATAAACTTGCTTATTTAAGTTTAAACTTCTAAACTATACGTTTTAAATAAATATTTACACAAGTGCGATGTTTGCAATACTTTATTTTAAATTTTACGTCTGTCCTATTTGTTATTAATGGTGTTATTTTTATTAACGTACATATATCTGTGACTAGTATTGAGGCTCATGTTTTTTTTTCTTGTAAACATTTTTAGATATTAAAACTAGGTTTGATCACGGGAATGACGATTTCGTCAATGTTTTTTATGGCATAGGGGTATGGTGGTTTGTGTATAGTGTTGTAGGTCCGATCCCCACATAGGACGACACTTTGTGTGATCCACAAATTGTTGTTCTGAATCTGGGTGTTCTTTGTGTCCGTTTTATGTATGTTTGTAAAGTCCCCCGCGACACAGGATATAATTCTAATGCGGGAGTTGTCTTTTTCAAACAAAAGAACATTTTTTTTGTTAAAGTTGGCGCGTTAATATTGTCTTTGGTATGCTATCAAGTTGATTAGGCTGAGTGAGAACTGATCACTCCGAAATATGTCTCAATTATTTATTTTTTCTATTTAAGTTCAACCGTGTTGTAGTGGACTGAAAATCGACTCCAACCTAGTTTGAGAAAAGGCTGAGAGGATGGTGATGATGATTGGACTACGACAGGCCACTAACTTTTGACAGAACGAAGTCTGTTTGGGAAAGAATAGAATAGAATAATCTTTATTGTACACCAATTCAGGATATTATACATGCAATAGTATTCCAAGTTAATGGTCATGTACAAATGGCGGCTTTAACGCTAAAAAGCAATCGCTTACAGGCAACCTTTGGATGGATAAATAGACTGTAAATAGGTAATTTCATGGGCAGATTTGGTTAGAAAAAAGTGTAAAGAAAAGAAGTTGGAAGCTGTAATTTAAAAACTAATCTAAATTGACGCGTTCAATGTCAGCAAAACATCGAAAACTTACTCTTAAAACAAGTTAAATCATGCGCGCAGCACCATTAAAATGAACGTAGCCAATTGAAAATTCAAATAAGACTGAGTATTTGGCCCGGGTTCTCTTCAGAGCAGGGCACCTAAGGCTGGCACATACACCACAGTTTCGAAGGGTTTTACCACCACGTCAACAAAAAAAACATTTTATTTTCATCTCGCTTGCCTGTTTTATCTACTACTATATATTTTAGTTCAAAATATAAAGCAAGTTATTATTCAAAGTCATGTGTGAATTTCTAAACTTTGTTTACGTAAACATACTGGTTCGAGGCGATTATCATTATATTTCAATTTGCAAAAGAAGATCCTGTTCAATTTTGTTTTATTAAAAAAAAACTTTTATCCTTTTCGTGCTTTTATTTTCATCTTTTTCATCCTTTTCCCAAATAAACCCCTACAAACTAAAATAATACAAACAGCCTTCGACATGCGAACCTCGTCTGATCGAAATATTATATATATTTATTCAATATGGGACTTCATTTACCTTACCTTCTAATGGGTATTCAGATATATACTCGTAGGCTAGTTGAAATCCAATTTCTTTCTACATTCATCTTTGTTTGTGTATTCACAACCTTACCTAGAGAAGGTATTCTTGAATATTTCTATACCATCCATAAGAAATTAACGACAAGACTTACATACAGACTTACGTATGAATGCAAATTTATAAATTATTTTAATTTATTTTATGCCGTTTATTAAAAGGTCGATGTTTCAAGAGACTATCTATGTATAAAGAACCTTAACTTAACTGAACCTTTTCTAATGACGTTACGACCTACGTAGGACATTACGATAATTGCGCGGGTATCCGAGCTCGAATTGAAATAAATTGGATGGCCAGACTTCATTTGTTTATTTATATAAAATAACTTTTTCTTCATCATCATCAACAGCCTTTAACAGCTTACTGCTGGACAAAGGCTTCTCCTTAGAAAGGAGGTTTTGGCCCACTATACCACGCCGGCCAGGTGAGTTGGTATAGGGTTTGTTTTAAGTTTATCTTATTGAATGAAATTATTATTAGCAAAAATATTAAGTATGCTACTCTCTACAATATACGTAACATTGAATTTTCACAGATTATCAGTGCATTCCACAAACGGGCAGCATTCATTCCGAATGATTCTTATTTCGAAAAGCGTTTGTAGAATGGAGTTAAATTACAGGTGTTCAATTTTCTCTTATAATCTCTTACACATATATATCCTTCTCCAAAATGCTTTTGTGTTCGGTTCGGCTACTTCTTTGAATCGAATGAGGGAGGGCGGTGTTAGGGGGCCCCTTCTGCCTGCAGTACCTCAAAGAAGCCAGGGCTGTGAACCCGTATATTCATCCCATGATCGGATCGGCCACTAGGACAGGGGCATTAAGCGGCCTTGTATGTGATATAATTATTGCTGATACTATTGCCCCAATACAATTTAGTGTTAATTACAGCGCCGATAGTGTTGTAACCTTGTTCGATTCATTTTAAAAAGTGGGTTATTCATACTATCGTCCTTAAAATCGTAAATATTGTAATTGTAACATGGTGGCTTATTAGTCTAGTAGTTAGCGAGCCTGACTGCTGAGCCAGTGGTTGTGGGTTCGATTCCCTGTTCAATGCATGAGGGTCCTAACTATTGGAATTTATATTTTACTGTTTGTTTAGCCCACAATATCGTTCAAAGTGTTAAAGCGCTCATGATAGGTTTTTGAATTAAACACATACCTTCAAATTTCCTGACATTTTCACCAGGTTGCACTACAAAGAGACGTGGGAGACCCATGCTTCTGTGGGAGAGCCATGCTTCCGTGGGAGAGCCATGCTTCGGCACGAATGGGCCGACTCGACCGGAGTGATACCACGGCCTCACAGAAAACCGGTGTGCAACCGGGGTGCAATTCTTTCGTTGCCTTTCACTGAGTGACTGACTCGATCGGGAGGGACTCCAAGGGCAGCAACGGACTTGTGACTCTTGAGATGCAGGTGTCCATGGGCGGCGGTAGTTGCTTACCATCAGGTGACCCGTCTGCTCGTTTGAACCCTTATACCATAAAAACAACAGCGAATTACATATTTATTCCACTTTCTAAATAAAGTCATGTAATTTTATATATGTATTTGTATACCCAGTGTCCAGAATGTCCAGAGCCCATAAGCATACATAAAACTTCTGTTTTTATTTCGTTCCTGCAAACCCTATATCCTTTAAACCAAGTTGTGACAACCCTGATATATTTTTTTTTGTTAAAAAAGACAACTCCCGCATTAGGAATAAATCCTATGTCGCGGGGGACTTTACAAACATACATGAAACGGACACAAAGAACACCCAGACTCAGAACAACAATTTGTGGATCACACAAAGTGTCATCCCATGTGGGGTTTGAACCCACAACACTCGGCGTAGTAGGAAGCGGCGTGGCGACCGCTTAAACCACTACGCCATCCGTGCAGTCTTTATATATTTAAAGTTAAGATGAGGTACTTCCCCAGACGGTAATCGCATTTAATCAAATCCGCATTTTAATTAATGGTGTGTTTTAAATACAAATCATTGCCTCATTAATCTTTAAAACATTACGCACTGAAGAAGCTTGTGTGAAATAATGGGTTATGATATCATACTCCGTAATTCCCAAATGAATTTTTTTTAGCATTTGGTTTGGCAATTAAAAAGAATTATAAATAAAGTAATGAATAGAATTTTTTCAGTCTTATGTTAATATTCATTAAAACACGTGAATTGTTGAACTTTTTATTGTAACCATAGAAAACTATAACGTTGTGTAATTGAACTAGCTTTTGCTCGCGGCTCCGCCCGCGTGTGTGTCGACTATCGCGGTTAGCTTTTGTTCTTATTGACAAGTCACACAATCTCCATACCAAATTTCATCTAAATCGATTCAGCGGTTATTGATTCCCAATACAAACTTCCACCAAGCTTCATCAGCCCTTTAAAGGATATGATTTCTGGGATAAAACCTATGTCCTTTCCCAGGACTCAAACTATCTCTATACCGAATTTCATCTAAATCGGTGCAGTGGTTTAAGCGTGAAGAGGGAACAGATAGACAGACACAGTTTCTTTTTTCGTTTTAAAGACAACTCCCGTACTAGGAATATATCCCGTAGCTTTACAAACATTCATAAATCGGACACAAAGAACACCCAGTCTCAGCACAACAATTTATGGATCAGATAAAGTGTGGTCTCATGTGGGGATCGAAGCTACAACACTCAGCGCAATAGGAAGCGGCGAGGTGACAGCTTAAACCACCACGCCATCCGTGCAGTCGATTTATATTGTTAGTATGGATATTAGTATGGATTGGAGCAAACAAGCAGACGGGTCACCTGATATTCGTAGTATGTGATTAATTCCGCCCATGGAAACCTTAAAGATTAAGGTGAAAACGGGGGTTTTTGGGCCTTTTTACTCACTCAGTGAAAAGCAACGAAAAAACTGCCACAGCGGTTCTCTATGAGGCCGTAGCATCACTCCTGTCGTGTGTGCCGAAGCATGGTTAATCATCATCATCATTTTTTAATAGTCCACTGCTGGACATAGGCCCCTCCTTAGAAAGAAGGTTTTGGCCTACTATACCACTATACTATCATCACATCACATCAACAGCCTTTACTAGTCCACTGCTGGATATAGGCCTCTCCTTAGAAAGGAGGTTTTGGTCTACTATCTTAGGACACTATACTTTTCTTCAATTCATGAACTTACCGGTCATTTCCAAAGCTTCTTCGTAATTATAAGAAGCCTTCTCGTTGTATTTTGGGGCACTTATCTCTATATCACGTCCTTTCTGGTTGACAACATACTTCATTTTGTTATTCTTAGCCATTTTGATAAAATAAAATAAAAACTTAGTTTTAAAAAAAAGTTTTACAAACACAAAATTTTCACGATCTAAATTATTTTTGACTTTATATTTGGTAAAATTTATTAATACTTTCACTTCACTTAAATTTAATATCAAGCAGTATTAGTATTATTTAAAATTAAATTTATCGATTTCATGCATATTAACTCATTATTTTTTTAACGATTTTAACGTAACACTGGATAGGATATAATACAGCCGTCTGTTGTTAAAACAGACGCGCGACTAACTCAAACAATATTCAATAAAGAAGGCCATAGCTATCGTTATCAAGCCGTGTCAACGCAATGGTGCAATTGTCTCGGCAAACGTCTATAAAAACATTCGTATTAACTACTACAAAGAATAGTATTGTTCAACTTGATGAGTAGGGTCATCTGTGACTCAATTTACACACTTTTTTTATCGCAATGAAGGTAGCGCGGTTTACCTTCAAACAGATTAACTTATTTAAAAATTATCGACTTTATTGCGTTTACATTGATGATGAAATTTGTTAAACTGTGTTCTTTTCACTCTTAATGACAGTATTTTTTTAAATCGCTTCATAAATACTCGTTCTGGGATAACAAACATAAAAAATACAATTGAGAATCTCCTCTATTTTTATCGTTATGTTTTTAAGTGTATGTGTGTAAACGATTTAATTTCGTTTCGGTACGTTTTATTTCGTTTCGTTCCATTTCATTGACTAGCTCTGTAGTCTAAATAACTTGATGGATTTTGGCGTTTGAGGTGTCCTTAGATTCGTCTTAATTGTGATAGAGTCATAATGACACTGGGTATATAAAAATTAAAATCGCCCAGAGCTCATTTTCGCACCAGCTCATTTTAGACCAGAAATATGTAAAATAAATTATATATGAGTGTCAAACTGCAATCAAACGTTAGACTGTGGTGGAGAATCACGCATTACTATTATGCATTCTTTTTGATTTTGTGAAAAGAATGAGTTCATGTCGATAGTTCGCTTTTCGGTCTAATCAATGAAGTTGATTTGTTCCTTACCAAAAAAAATCTGATTAGACGAGAGTATCAAGGATCATACCTGGTTGGCCGGGAAATCACAAACCATCCTAGGAAGTTGTACAGGTTTATATAGTCCGAGAAACTTCCTTCCTGTATGTATTTCCTGTAGATATAGTTACTCTGTAGTTCTTCAAGTCTTGTGGAAGTATGTTTTTCATCGTATACAGAAGTAGAAACGGTACCTACTAAAAATGACTGTACTGAGTAATTCAAATAATGAACTTTGATAACGAATGAGGGTAATATATTTGGGTAATAAATTCGCTCGCACGGTGACATGTTTGCCGCCATGGTACGGAGCGAGAGTGCGTTGAACTCCGCCGTCTCCTTTTGCGAGCAAGTTATGCTTATAAAAGAGATGGCGGAAGGGGACCGGGAGAGGTTTAGAATTCTCCCTCAGATGACTCAGGCACCGGAGGACACAAAACGACCTGCGTCCACCATAAGCGCAGGCCAGGGGGGGGGGGGGGGGGGCAGGAAGGGAACGTCGGGGTTCCCACACAGGAGAGGATCATCTATAAGCCGTAGATGGCACGTCGGTGTACCAGGGCTTTCCTTTCTAGGGTATACCTGGTTCCCCGACCACTGGTACCTGAAGACGGCGTGCGGTTTTTGGTCGGTTAGAGTCCGACATAACTAGTGAATGAGAGACATAACAAGTATTATTTTGGGGAGAATTATTAGTTTGCTTTTCCTCCGACTTTTTTTCCCACACTAGGTTGGGGTCGGCTTTAAGTCTACAAGACACGGCTGAACATAGACTTTACGTCGATTTTTTACGATTGCCATCAGATCACCATAATCGCCACATCGGAATTCTGTAGAAAGACTGTTATCGGAATTTTTAGGGCTCCAATGGCCGATGGCCACAGGTTTACGCAAAGCAATCGGGACCGACAGCTTAACGTGCTGTCCGAGGCACGGAGATTGCCACCCATCCATAGCCTGACCTGGTTATGATTGCTAAATTTTGCAGTGTGTTAACCTACTTAGTTACGTTACGGTTAGCCACGGGTCCCAATATATATTTCAAATATTATAATTTTATGTTAATATTAACTTTACGTAAGATATAAGTTGACCCGAATGTATGCTGTATTGCCCCACAGTTTTTTTTATTGGATGCATATACTGACATCCTTTCGTACTTGGCTGAGCAACAAATGTGATATTATATAAATGACAACTTTTTGACAATTATATATTAACTTTTATAAGAAATAATCTTGTGTCCGGCGACTGCACAGGCTTTGTACTTTGGCTACATTTTGTTTTCGCCAAACTATCACCTAACCCTACATTAATAAAAGAATAGTGTCTTCGAATAAAGAAGCACAAAGCTCATACATATAGTTTTTTGCCAATTTTGGCTTTTGACATATATTTTGTAGTTTTGATACTGATTTTGAATACGAATATAGTTGCTTCAGAGACAAAATCCCTTTTGTTTTTTTTTTTACCTATCTGCATATCCATCTATTTTGTCGTGTGTAAGTTGGACTCCAACCGACTACATCCACACGGTGGTCCATCTCAGAGCTTTACTTACCGAAGTCCGTGGAGAGTAAACTTCAGAGAGAAACCACCGTGAAACTTAACATGCTTAACCACCTGTTGAATAAAACGGACTTTAATCTGGAGGGGTATCTACTCTCGGTAATGAGTAGCGCTGCCGATTGCTAGAGATTGTTCTGCACTTTCTGGCGCCGGGTGAATCTTTTACGAAACTGGAGAGTTAAATTGACTCTCAATCAAACAAGTTTCTCAAATGCGGTAAACTATGACTTCGACTATGACAATTTCTTCAAATACAACCGAAATCATTTTTATGAAAGTCGATAGCAGCCTATGATTGAATTACATATAAGTTTTATATACACATTTCATTAACGCCGAAGATTAAATGATTTACCTAACATTTCTCATGCGATGTTTTCTAGACAACATTGTAAAGAAAGTTCAAACTTGCCTAATTAGTGTGAGATAAGCTTCCCATGGCAATGCAAATACCACAATTTCTTAACATATCTAATAAATTATGAAATCATTTAGTAAATTATTTATTAATAAGACAATTATATCTCTTATGGCTAATCAATTGTCATTTTCATTTAATCAATGTGTTGATAGTGGTGGAAATTGCAGCACTATGGTATTAAAACTAAAGCACTAGAACTTTTTGCTTCATATCTAACTAATAGGATTCAGAAAGTTGAAATTAACGGTAAGCGTTCGCCGGGTTCTGTAGTAGAAATGGGCGTGCCACAAGGTTCTATTCTCGGCCCATTTATGTTTTTAGTAAATGTTAACCACTTAACAAACCTCGTCAAGGATAATCACGAGATTGTATTATTTGCAGACGAAACATCACTATTATTTAGAATCAAAAGCACATTTACTAATTTCACAGACATAAAAAGCGCCATTTTGAAAGTAGTACATTGTTAGTGTGACGTTAACAATTTGCTTTTGTATGAAAACAAAACTAAGTGTATATGGTTCACCATGCCAAACGTCAAGCCAGTGAAAAGCACTGTGATGATTAACTGTGACATTGTTAGGAATAACATTAGCTTTTAAGATACAGTGTTGCCCACATATAGATCAATTATCGAGTAGACTCAGCTCACCAGCATGCGCAGTTAGAAAAATTCGAGAATTGACTGATATTGATACAGCACAACTTGTTTACTTCAGTTATTTTCATAGCATAATGTCGTACGGTATTCTACTGTGGGGGGACATTCAAAAGATTTTTGTGCTTTACAATTGAGTTAATAGTTGTTCATTAATGCCAAAATTTTAAGAAATAAACACAATGACAGTGGCAAGTCGATATACACATGTATGAAAATGTACTATATGTTCATAAAAACAAAGATAGCTTCATTAAAAGAAGTGATATACATGCTTTAAATACCAGAAATAGAAATAAACTTGTTGTAACTGCCTCCAGGCAAATAGGCAAAAGATAAACAATTCATTTCGAGGTCAATGTGTCCGATTCTATAATAAAATCCCAAATAGTACACAAGATTTTAGTATAAACAAATTTAAATCCACAATAAAACGTACACTATGTCAGAAAGCCTGCTACTCAATTGTGGATTACATAGAACACAAGAATGCTTGGGATTGATTTAGCACAGGCTATTTCGTGGTGGAAATGTGATGTGGGTATGTCTTTTTTTTAATTTTCATTTTTTTATGTTTTACTTCACTTTCTTTTTTAATCCATCTTGTTTCCTTTAGTTTAGTCCTTAAAACTTACATACTGGCACACATCAAAACAATGTTGTGTACTTTTAATGATGCCATTTTTATCTGTTGATTAAAAAAGAGTGGCCGTGAGTTTGTTTACCCTTTCTTCTCATGAGGCTCAACCTTCGAAACTAGGCTGTTGTAGATCGACACAGGCATATAAGAGATTTTAGATACGTATATATTTAGTTTGCTAAATGTTTGACAAAATAGAGATTGTCTCTATTGTGTGTGTTGATCTATGACTTTAGAGTCTACACAAGAGATGACTTTAAATAATTTTAAAGATTTTATGAAATAAAGATATTTTAGTTTGAGTTTTAGGTAAATTTGTGTTTCAAATCATTACAATTTTCACAAAGAAAAACTAAACAAAAGCGTAATATTTTAAAACTAAAAATGAATTGAATTTGCTACTTGGCTGCTGGAAACAATAGATTTTTAACAATAACTTATTACGAAGTGCTGACATGCCTCAACGTTTTAAGAATACTTTTTAAAACGTAACTTTACAGATTTTCATCGTCATCAGCCTTTAATAGTCAATTGCTGGACTTAGGCATCTATTTAGAAAGGAAGTTTTGGCCTACTATACCACGCTGGCCAGACGTGTTGGTAACGGTATTGTTTCAACTTTTCCTTCAGTGCTGTTGCTGTCCTTCGTGGTTTGCTCCCTTAGTACGATACCCACGGGATGAATAAGCCCCTATTCATCTCTGTGTTCTCTTCTGTGACACTCTGTATTCTTAATCCGTTACTACAGATTCACTATAGATTTTAATTCAATTTAATTTCAATCTTGTTTCTCTCAATTAGTTTATTCGTTATGTTTTTAATCCTTTTAAAAGTTTCTTTAACTGATCATGATATGTAACATACCTTATACTGTACTTCGTATTTTTACACGCTTTATATTAGCTTCACTTATATGTTTGTTTGTATGTTTGTAACCGACTCCTTTGGGCGTGATTTTGACTGACTTTAAACGGTCAGAATTCGTTCAAACTTTGTAGATACGAGTATATCGAGGACCGATGACAATACACTAATTTAAAAAGAAAAATTAAAAAAAATAGTTTAAAAAACTAAAAAACATGCTTTCTATAGAAAACCAAACTAAAACTATATAAAAAAAATGAAAAAAAGCGTTGGGTGCCTGTTGTCAATAGTAAAAAGCACCGCACGCTTTTTACTCTATTTTTTACTCTATAGTAGTATCACTCTGGCTGAGTTGACCTGTTTGTGCTGCAGCATATCGTCATAGTAAGTATTAAAAATTTTTTTAAGAAAATTCCAGAAAGTCCTAAGTATCGTGGTAATAAAGATATTCAATTGTCTGCTTTGCGGTTATAGAGCAGTGGTCGTTTTCACATAAACAGTGAATTCGTAAATAGAAAACAATAATAAAGAGTACAACCTTAGCCTAATGTTTATTTTTATAAACTTATCAATAATACAGGTATACGTGGTTATTTTAAATAATTATTTCCTTATATCCGGTGGTAACAGGCATGCTAATGATGCTGCCGCTGAAACAAGTAAAACTATACATCAGAATCTTACCGACAAGAAGTATACAGAGAAGATATGCGAAACCTTATATTCTCTAACATAGAGACGATTTTGGTTTATAATTGGGCTACATGTCAATACAAACGTTGCCCAGAAACCAAAGTTGAACTAATAAGAGATATAGATGCACATCATGGTATGGCATGGCATAGTACATCTTATTTATTCATTTTTTTATTGAGTCTTGCTGCAAACATATTGCATAGGGCGGACTTAATGCCTGAGGCATTAAGTCCGCCGTACATCTTAGTTTTTTTTTATAGTATAAGGGGTATTTATAGCAAACGAGCAGACGGGTCACCTGATGGTAAGCATCTACCGCCGCCCATGGACACCTGCAACTCAAAAGTCACAAGTGCAATACCGCCCTTGGAATCCCTCCCGCTCGAGTCAGCGGGAGGGGGATTTGGGTTCCGGTAACCTCACTCAGTCACTGCTTAACACCGGTTTTCTGTGAAGCACCTAATTATATTGGTTCCTCTAGCCTCTCAACTCTAAGCTATGAATTAATCTTGGCTACTAATAATTTCTACTGTGATTAGATAAAATTTTGCTTGATAACGAAAAGAACTAAATTATCCTTAGGCCTCATGGTCTAGAAAGTGAGTGAAATACTTACAGAGCATCAGTCCACCACTGATATAGAACATGGAAGAGCAGTGCGTCATGATATAAGATCCTAGTACGTTGACGCCGCCCAGGGCACTGGAACGGGCAACCATCACTGCTATACAGGCCGCCATACCCCTGTGAACGGGACAGAATATTAACTAGTAATTATAGTTGAGTTTCAAGAAAACAGGTTTTAAATGTAAAGCTAAATTATTAGCTTTAATGTAAACCATAATCATAGCCTGATGATGAAGCTTGAAATCCAACAGAACTGGTCATTGCCAATCTCATCCAAATAAATCATATAAACATAAATTCAGTTTACTAGTATCCCCTTTTTTTCCGTTCGGAAATCCCCTCGGATACCACCTATCGGTGGCATGTCGGACTCGAACCGACTAAAACCGCACGCCGTCTCGGGTACTAACAGCCGGGAAACCAGGTATACCGTAGAAAGTAAGTCCCTGGTGCCCCGACATACCTCGGGTTACTAGCATCCCCTAAAGAGTTCCACTATGAGTGCATAAAAGTGTATTACTATAAAGATAATCTTTACCCTACGCTCAATAGATGGCGCTGTGCCGTATTCCTAAATCACGTTATTGTCATTAAAACTATTCAAATGTACGAAAATTTATTTAAAAAACGAAAATTAAAAGTATTTTAAAATGAATTCTGAGATTTGTTTCCACAGTTACTTACACGTAAAGCTAATAAAACGTCTAAAAAGAATTAAGTCACAATCTGATTCAAAATAAGGTATTCTTTAGTCCACGTGACTAAAGATTCATTACCAGCGTCGGAAAGCCCTTTTAAATCTAAAAATTATTATGCATTGTTCTTAAAGTTTAAACCACCAATCGATTTAAAGAAAAAAACTAACTATAGATGAAAGAAGGCATGTTTCGATAAAACTTTGGATGCAGTTTGTTAGACACATCAAAAAATATAACAAGAATGGTCAAGGTCAGACGAAGATCCGTTTCGAAAATATCGACTTTACACGAGAAACGCAAGTGTTAAATTTTAAATAACACATTTATAGACTCACGATACACGAAGCTGTAGGCAGAAGCATGTAACCAAAAATAGTTTTAGTTTACGAAGCAAGTCGTTAACAGAGTTCTTTAGGGGTTAGATGGAAAAATTACGATAACAATATGAAAGAAGAAGTACATAAGAACGAAAGGCAATTGAAGAAAATCGTGGGAGAATCATACTGCGGCTCAAATGGGCCGGCTCGACCGGAGTGATATTACGGCCTTGCCGAAAAGCGGTGTTAATCAACTTTTTTATTGCTTCTCACTGAGTGATTGAGGTTACCGGAGACCAAATCCTGATCCTGGGGGGGGGGGGGGGGGGGGGGGGGAAACGGATTAAAAAATAAAGGGATATTGTTTATGGATGTATTGAGATCGCCGGATGGATGGATTGATACCGTAAGCAATAGCATGATCAGGTCACAAATGACTAGTCTGTTGGTCTAGTGGTTAGTGACCCTGACTGCTACGGCAGGGGTCATGGTTCGATTCCCACCCACAAATAATTGTTGAGCACAGTCATTTGTTCTGTGTCTGGAAGTATTTTATCTATAATATATATGTATTTAGAAATATATGAGTATTTTTATCAGCGGTCTGGTTACCATAGTACAGGCTCTGTCTAGTTTAGGATCAGACGGCCGTGTATGAGATGTGTAAAAATATTAATAAATTACATTTTCTTTAAATAGATACTTACCGATAAGACGTGGGATAGAGATCAACGAAGTAGGTATAAATAATACCAATGCAGAGCTCATTAGTCAACAGTCCAAAGAACATGATGAAGCTGATCAGGTTATCTTGGATGACAGCAGCGCCAATAGACGCGAACCCTGCCGTGGTCATAATGATGATCGTCAAAGCCTTCTTCCTGTACGCCAGCTTTGTAATGACAAACATTATCAGGACAAAAGAGATTCCTTGGGCCAGGCTAGACCATACTAGGTTGATCTCCACTTTTGAGGTGCATGCCTGAAAATTAGAACTTGATTTATTACTATAATCTAAACATATTAAAGTAAATGCTACTTTGTAACCTATTTCCTTTCTAAGGAGAGGCTTATGTCCAGCAGTGGACTATTAAAGGCTGTTGATGATGATGATGATGACTACTTTGATATTCAAAAAAAGTAGTATCGCCCATAAAGGTCTAATGAGCGTAGATCTTTTAAATGTATGATTTGTTTCTGTTACTTTATACGCTTTGGCTTTTGAAGTTTCCAAATTCAAGAAAACGCATAGGCAGGACACATATTTGCCAAGATGTATCGAAGAGTCATAAACAAGTAGCACAAGGTTAAAAAGGAAGAAACAAACATAGAAAATGTATCTACAAAATAAAATAAAATATATTAAATGTACGCCTTTCAACATATTCATAAAATAAATTTAAATATTTGCCAAGGAGAATCTTAACATTAACCTGAAGAGTCTAGGCATCACACATTATGTAAGAAGAAATGCAATCCAATCCATCCATATTCTAAGAAGAATGATAGGCTAGACTGTAGTTCAAACGGACACAGAATAATAATAATTAAATATTTGGATTTATCTCACGAGATTGTCGATATGTGGAATGTTGATTCAGTGATCATTGTTCCGATAGTCGTATCTGCTCACGGATTGATAGCCAAGAGCCTCGACCAACACCTTAAGAGGCTCACGTTGGACGGCTGGATCAAGGGTCTGATGCAGAAGGCAGTCCTCCTTGACACGGCTCGTATAGTGAGGAGGTTCCTATCTTTGGAGTCCTAACCACCGATGTCTTGGTCCCTGTACCCGATGTCGGTGGTCTACTATTTTTTATATTTTTAAATGTATTTTTTTATATTTTTTTATTATAAAAAAATAGAATAAAATCCAGCCCAGAGCTGGATGTTAAACAGTCGCGAATGATGGTGCGTATATGTCTGTATAGGAACCGATACGTCTGTAATATATCTTTTAAAGGACCTATTAGTTTTTTCGCAACAACCATAAGCGATTGTTTCATCAATATTAGGTATGAACTTCTGAGTTTATAAATAGACCCCAAATATGGATTAATAAAACTTACATCTAAAGATTTCGTCTCGTTATAATTACTGACGATCATGTGGCAGAGTCCTGCCTCGTCGTCAGCGTTGAATGCGCTCATGCCAGCATCGAATTTTTTTACTAAGTACGGAAACCAAATGAAGAAGCTGTTGTTTCTATAAAAGCAAAAAATTATAAGTTTTAAGTCACAGTTTATTACAGAGTACAATTCATTCTTTATAAGAAGTGTCAGTAATTGTTTAAACGTCCAATTTTAGAATTAATTTTAGTCTGCATTAATTGCAATTAATTGGCAACACTAAAATGAAAAAAGTTAATAATTTGTTACAATAAACTTAATATATTATATTTTAGTAGGATTATCAACAAAAATTTCTATTTCTGCAAAAAATATGTAAAATTACGTAGAAGAATAAAGGATTAAAAACAACGAATATTATTGCTTCTTCTAACATGAATCACCAATATACAACCTTGAGTATAATCTTGTATCTTTAATGATTACCAGCTGAATTTTGTGGTCTAATTAAATTTTAACTATTATGGACTGAAGAAACTTTAATAGCAATCAGTGGCTTTAAACCAACTACAGTTAATTTTATTTTTATAGGCATCTATACAGAGCATCATAGAAAAGTACTTCTAACAAGAATCAATATATATTGTATATCCAAAAAATATAAGTAAAAAGAAGATAATACATGCCACTAACGTGCTAAATACAACGGCGGTGAAGTAATACAGCTGCATGCTTCTATAGATAAGGGGAGCCCTGAAGAGGGGCACGATCTGTTCCCAGAGTGATTGCAATAGAGATACATCTTTGCGACGTTCGTTGCCAACCTCGTTTAAAATTATTTTCTTTACCTGGAATAGAATTTGTATTTTAACATTACAAAAAGAACTTTACTGAATGTTCGATAAGAGCTTTTCAATATTCTGCTCCTATTCATATTAAAGGTACAAAACTGAAATTTAGTGTAAATAGTGTTTATTTAAAGGCCACTGGATGAAAAGTTAAGAAGTAATAGGTTATCTTGGTATGGACATGTCATGCGGAGGGATGAGGAAAATGTGGCGAAGAAAGTTTTAGGTATGAGAGTTGAAGGGTACAAGAGAAGAGGCAGACCGAAGAAGAGGTGGATGGACTGCGTCAGGGAGGATATGGCTAGGAAGGGAGTAAACAGTGAGATGACGCATGACAGAGTAGAATGGAAAAATCATACATACTGCGCCGACCCCAAATAAAATTGGGAAAAGGGTAGGCAGATGATGAGTGTTTATTTAAAGCTAGTAGTAAACGTTGCTAGTATTGGGCTTCATCATCAAGATCATCTATATTGTTCTAATTTAATTTGGCGTCAGCGCAGTGGTGCAAAGGCTGATTACTTTTATGGCCAGCTGCCTGCCCGTCGCCAACCTTCTTTAGAATTGTTTTCAGATGGGACAATGAATAGGGCAACAACATAACGGTAAGGGACACAACAAGACTCGAATAGGAAACAACACCAAGACTTCAGTAGCTTGAAGAGACACGGGTCGCATACCAGTATTCCCATTTTGTACGATCGAACGTTAGACCTTTTTTATCTTGGACCCACCAGTGGGGCGTAGGGGTAGGACCACGGGTAATAGAAGGGCATTTAACGCCAATGTAACAATTACACCAAGAAGGGACGGTATTACCAACTGTAGAAAGCAAAGAATTTTCTTAAGATCCATATCATACGCCATAATTTATGTATTTAGACTGATGCCCAGTGGATGAATCAAGCCAGTTGGCAATTAATGTGCTTATTAAAAAAAATACTCACCGGATACTTATCTCCTTTTCCTTTGTTCCTCTGCCAGATTTTCGTCAGGTTTTCTAAAGCTTCCTCATTCCTCTCAGCATTAACCAGAAACTTGGGACTTTCGTAGAAGAAGTAAATGCCAATGGCTCCGAAGCCAAGTGGCAATGCAAGTAAAAGGGCTAGAAGACGCCACGGAGTGAATTCTATACCACCACCCATGTCGTAGGAAAAGTCGAGATTCAAGACCCAGTATGCCACCACTGTGGAAGAAAATATACTGCATTAAACATTTAAAACACTGTCTTTAATAGATTTTGACAGTAGCTACCCTCGAATAAAAGTTTCTATAACTACATTTTTCGGTACTAAAACTAAAGTTACCTACTATTCGATTGACGACCGGATGGAGTAGTGGTTTGTGTAACGGACTACTATTCCAAAGTCGCGGGTTCGAGTCCAGATCAAGTCAAACATTTGTGTGCGTGAACATTCAATGTTTGGTTTGGTCTGGGTGTTTCTATGTATAATAAGTATGTATTTTCAACAAGAAAAAAAAGTATATATGTATTTATATCAGTGGTCTAGTACCCATAGTACAAGCTCTGCTTAGTTTGGGACTAGATGGCGTTGTGTAAATGTGGTAGAATATTATTATTATTCGGTCGATTTTCGGCTTCTCACATCCAGCTCCTGCCAGCCATTATCGAAGCAGCAACGAATATTATCAACGAGGCAAAAACAAAAAAATACGTTTAAGAAGTATTTAATACACTACATTCTTGTCGACCGAAATTTTCAGGGATTCTTATGCTCATTGCTCTAAAGTGCAGTGCAGCAAAAGAGTTCTGCACCTGTTCCATTTTGCCAACCGAATTTCCGTTGTAAGGTAGCTGACAAAAACATAAAATATACGTTTTACAGTTTCTTCAATTGAATTGTACTATACTTTTATTTTGACAGGAGTGACTACTAATGTAAAAAATACTTTAAAAATAAAAATCGATAAAAAATCTTACCAACATAAGCTGCTAAACTGAAATCTAGTACGCTGGTCATTATCAACATGTAAGAGTCCCTCGCTTTCTCTGCGCAGGATTCTCCAAGTAGTGTGTAAGTTGTAGATTGAGCACAACTACAGCTGCAATACAAAATAAATCTACAGATCTTGCTAAGCACTGAATCTTAAAACTACAGGAGATGAAGTTGATGTCCATAATTGTTATGCCTGACATTGGATCAGCTCGGACTCGATAAGAGGAACTACTAACATCTGTCGGCGATGCTGGTGACTTCACGTCCACTTCCGCAAAGTTTTACTAACAACAACAACAAGTAACACTAATATTAGTCGCAACCTACTCTCTGTACTTAGAAGAGAATGAAATAGTTAATTATTTCTCTTATCTCAAAAAAAATATATATTCCTACTGAAGTGTATATCTTACTCGGTGGCTCGAAAAGCCGACGTAGATGACAATGGAGGCGTAGGTGGGTACAGTATGTTACTTCCAAACAAATTTTGAAGCAATAAAACGACATTGGCATGGCAACGTACATTTAATTTCATTTTTTAGTACTTGTCGTTAATCAGCTTTCGGATTAATAAATAAACATAATAGAATAATATTGAAAGAGGCCCAATTCGATAAACTTAAGAGACTTCAGAATTTCTTAAAAAGATTCATTTGGATTTCGCAAACATGATCATATTTCTGAATTTCGTAAGAAACTCAAGCGGCTCCCAATTCGCCTTCGCCGGCAAACTCACATCCTCTCTTCACTATATTATATTTATTTAATCCTGCAACTCTTATCTACTTTAAGAAACGATTCGCTTTTATCCATGGGATATCCGTGGCAGAGCCATGCTTCGGCACGAATGGGCCGGCTCGACCGGAGTGATACCACGGCCTCACAAAAAAACCGATGTTAAGCAATTCTTTCGTTGCCTTTCACTGAGTGAGTGAGTTTACTGGAGCCCAAATCCGCTGACTCCAAGGGACTCCAAGGGCAGCAACGCACTTGTGACTTTTGAGTTACAGGTGTCCATGGGCGGCGATAGTTGATTATCATCAGGTGACCTGTATGCTCGTTTGCCCCCTTATACCATAAAAAAATGACACACGGGAAGCTTGAGATCATCGAAAAATCTGAGACTAGAAATCCCAACACACTCTTCTACAACCCTGACTATGTGTTATATAGGTATGTGTATGCATTTGTATATATATTTATGTGAATGTATGTAACTGTATGAATATGTGTGTATAACTGTATCATGTTATACTTATTAATAAATGTATATTCTAAATACGCACCACAAACTACATATTACTAGACAGTAGTCCATCTAAACGTTGCTTGTAAGAGATCATAGGCTGCGATAAGGCCATTCATTGTACGACTGTTTTTTTTTATGTTTTCTATTCATCATCATCATCAACAGCCTTTAATAGTCCACTGCTGGACATAAGCCTCTCTTTGGAAAGGAGGTTTTATGTTTTTTATTAATGAAGTGCAATAAAGAGTACATATCTATCTAACCTATCTGATGTATCTTAATTTCAATTGAAAAACTTAATTGTATGTACATGATTATTTAAATTATTTGACGGGCCTGTTGGTCTAGTGGTTAGTGACCCTGACTGCTAAGCCGGAGGTCGTGGGTTCGATTCCCACCCAGGACAAATAATTGTGTGATGAGCACAATCATTTGTTCTGTAACTGGGTGTAATTTATCTATATTACGTATGTATTTAGAAATATATAAGTATGTTTATCAGCAGTCTGATTACCATAGTACAGGCTCTGCCAAGTTTGGGATCAGACAGCCGTGTGTGAGATGTATAAAATTATTATATTATTATTATATAATAAAAGCAAATACAAGAGTTATTAAAGTTATTGGACTTACAAACTAGTACTAATAAATTTAAGCACAGCCATGACGACCCAGTTGGGAGAGAAGGCACTGATGCTAGACACAACAAAGCTGACGCACATAGCGATGAACAAAACTTTCTTTCGACCCTGGGTGTCGGACAAATAACCCCATGGATACGCCATTGCCATGGGACCTGAAAACGAAAAGTATGATGTTACTTATCCTATTTAAGTGTTCATGACATGATATGACATCAACATCAAAATTGAAAATAAAGAGAGATGATGGTTAACATGCAATTATGGAACTGTTATTAGGAGGCTTCTTTCTGAAATCAGTTGCTTATAAAAGAATCTTATAAGTGCTTGCAGAAAGGAAAACCCACGGGCCAAAGACTAAAGTTAACACTCAAAGATATACCAATAACACTTACCTAAAAAAGGCATGGATAGCAAGATGCTAGTCTGCCTGATGTCTAAATTAAAATCGCAGGTACAGCCGGTGACCACCACGGAGAAACCAAACATATCCATTCCCATAGCCAGTCCACACATACTCAGGGTTGATAAGAGACCTATGCTATAGCAACCAGTGCCTGAAAGTAAAGAAATATATAAATACATTAACTATTAAACATATCCATGCTATCCGCATGGTGACGAATTAAGAATACCGAGTGTCACCACCTCTATTCATCCTGTGGGTCTCGTGAGAACTGACTAAGGGAGTAAACTACGCAGGACCACAGCAGTGCAAAGAGAAGGAAAACTTGACACAAACACTATACCAACCCATCTAGCTAGAGGAGAGGCCCATGTCCAGCAGTGGACCAGTAAAGACTGTTGATGATGATGAACTTTTAAAATTTCACGTTCCATGAAATATAATTATGACCATATACATACATCATCATCAACAGCCTTTAACAGTCCACTGCTGAACATAGGCCTCTCCTTAGAAAGGAGGTTTTGGCCTACTATACCACGCTGGCCAGACGGGTTGGTATAGAGTTTGTTTCAAGTTTTCCTTCTCTTTGCAGTGCTGTTGTCCTGCGTTGTTTTGCGCCCTTAGTCGGCTCTTACGACACCCACGGGATGAATTGGGGTAGTGACATTCCGTATTCTTAATCCGTCATTACACGGACAAAACTGTATCTCTTTATTAAAAATGTCAGTAACTTATAATTTACTTTCTGCCCTTTTGTATAAGTTACTATGATATCGTGTCTTATATATGTGCAATACATATATATTTATATGGTACACGTGTTCTTGTAATGTCTATACTCTTACGTGACTGTGAGATATAAAATTTAACAAAATTATATGCAGCATGTGCACCATACAGCCCTTGATTTATTTCCATGTGTTTTGTCTCATGGTTACCTATAAAAGATTGCAATAGAGCGATAAGGCTGCCAATTTTATAAAAGTAATGTACTACGAAGAGTCAGATGATCGTAGATTAACTATTCGAGTGTTTTATGTGTAAGGAGAGTTTAAATTTGGTTGTTCACTAAAGTTGGTCTAGTGGTTAGTAACCCTGACTGCTAAACCGGATGCATTCCCACCCAGGACAAATATTGTAAGATGAGCACGGTCATTTGTTCTGTGTCTGGGTGTAATTTATCTAAAATATGTATGTATTTAACAACATAAAAGTAAGTTTATCAGCAGTCTGGTTACCATAGTACAGGCTCTGCCTAGTTTGGGATCAGACGGCGGTGTGTGAGGTACATTATTATTATAAAAAAAAGTGCCTATTTATAATATTTTTCAGCTGCCCAATTGCTAAGGGCTTGAAATTCTGCTATAGTTTAAATGACGGGCTCTTTGGCCTAACGTCGAAACGTTATTGTTATTGACATATTGGAACGAAGTTCCTTATCGCGCGTTGTGAAAGGGGGCTAGACGGAAAAAATTCTTACGAAAATTGGTCACGGCACTTTTTGCTATAGTAAGCTATTGTAAGCTGTGCGGCGTCGCATGTTTCTCTGTCTGTCTCTCTCTCTCTTATAGAAAGCAAGCTAGATATTTTCATTTCTATCTTTTTATGTCAGTCATTCAGCGCCATCTATCGAATAGATAGGAAATCATTTCTCAAGGAGATTTTACCAATGTATAAATTGTTTTAATTAGAAACCAACTGAAAAATATGTAGGTAATAGCCGCTTTCATAGATGGCGTTGTAATTAAAATGTGCCGAATCAGTTTTACTCGATCGTTACAACTTCGTTCCTATCGGGTGTCCCACGACACCACACGGCTCTTTTTTATATGTTCTGTGTTGGGTGTAATTTCTCCATGTAACTACGTAATATAATATATGCCCGGTTAAGACGTGAATAAAAAGTTATATAATTATTTATGGTATAGGCTTTTCTATAATTGACTTTATCGTTAGCTGTTTTTTCTACATTTTAACTGACTTTGCGATAGTGTTACAAAGTTGTTAGTACAAACCTGTAAAACAAACATTTGTGAGTAATATAGAACTTGTTCAGAATTTTTATTTGGATTCATACAAATTACATTTAAAAGTAGAGTTCAGTCCATTACAATAATCCGAGTGAAGCTTAAAAGTAAGAAAAATACTGGGAATACCCTTATAAAGGCAATGAGAAAAGTATTTTCTTTTCTAAATCATCATCATCATCAGCCTATCGCAGTCCACTGCTGGACATAGACCTCTCCCATTGCAAGCCACTTAGATCGATTTGGGCCTCTGTATACCATGAGCTAATCTTATAAAACCAGATAGGTTCAATTTTTTATCATATACATTTTGTTTAAGCCCAACAGTAAAATTCACAATCTTAAGAAACTCAACCTTTCATAGAGTCCCTATCAGGTTCGAAACCGACAGCCATCAGGAAATACGCTAATCAAAACGTATAAATGCTCCTCTAGAAGGATATTGTTCTAATGCAGGTATTTCCAAGAATCGGCAACTGCCTAGCTAGAATGAGGCAGAAAATTTGACTTACCTGCTAAATTAATAGCTTCTGTATATGTGTAGACCCTGTCTTCGTGGCCATTTGTTGTGATCGAAAGGACATTGTTGTTTGAACCATCTTCTGAGTCCCTCTTCTTCTGCAACTTGATCGTCATTTTGGTCTGGAATTAACAAAAGAATTTCAATCTTATCTTAAGGGACAATATAAGTTGGTGTAATATATTATTTAGAACATACATTTAGTATCATTGAATTATCGCCTGCCTCGGCGGCACAGTGGTAGCGTATGCGATTACTGTGCTGAGGTCTCTGTTTTGATTCCCGGGTCGAATTTAATGTTTGTATGATCAGCAAATATTGATTTCGGCGTTTTCTATGTATAATATGTGTTACAAAAGAAACAGTATTTAGGTATTCTATCAGTCAATCTAAATTTTTAAGACAACTCCCGCATGAGGAATATATCCTGTGTAGCGGGGGACTTTACAAACATACATGAAACGGACACAAGGAACACCCACTAAGGTAGAGCTTTTCAAATTCCAAGCGAACGAAGTACGAAGGTACCAGCTACTAGCAAATAAAATTGAATTGAATTAAATCGAATTAAGTCTCCTCTCCCGAGAATTGGGAGGATTGGGGTCCGGTAACACTCACTCGGTGAAAAGCATCAAATTAGTTGCTTAACACCGGTTTTCTGTGACGCCGTGGTATCACTCCGATCGAGCTGGCCTGTTTGTGACGAAGCATGGCTCACACTCTTTGAACAGAACGATTTTGATATGGATATAACAAAAACCTTCTATGCAGAGATCAGTCTCATCAAGTAAAATATTATACATTTTATAAAAATTTTAAAAAATAAACATTACTTAGTAACCACGCTGTTCTAACAGATAATTCCTTAATCAAGTAGCCAAAATTGTTTCTATGCCTATATTAAAAGCAAGCGGTTTTCAGTATATCAAAAAGGGTGTGCCTTGATAAACCCCCGTAGTATGTCTATCTTTAATATTATTCGCATAGTTAAAAATTAAGATCACGTTACTTTTATTACAATTCATATAAATGAAATAATTACGGGTCTATAGATTGTTTCTTTCTCACATGTTTACGTGCATAAAACACAATCCACGCGCAGAAAAACTGGAGTTACGCTCAACCAATACACGAAATAATCAAACAACTCAAGTTTTACAACTTTTTAATGGCTTTCGCTTTAATCTGAACAATATAATTGAAGATATGGTTCTGTGAACTAAAATACAGGATATGATATCTAAAAATTTTAACAGTATTTTTCCCTTTTTTGAGGTCTAAGAGGGAAAACAAGCAAATGGGTCATCATCATAATCAACAGCCTATAGTAGTCCACTGCTGGACATAGGCCTCTACTAGAAAGGAGGTTTTGGCCTACTATACCACTCTGGCTAGACGGATTGGTATAGGGTTTGAGTCAAGTTTTCCTTCTCTTTGCAGAGCTGTTGTCATGCGTAGTTTGCTCTTTTAGTTGGTTCTTATGACACGCACGTGATGAATAGGGGTGGTGACACTCCGTATTCTTAATCCATCATCACACGGACAGGGCTCACTTCATGATAAGTGCGTTACCGGCATTTCAATCCTCCCCCAAACCCTTCCTGTTTGGGTTACGGTAACCTTACTCACTCGATGAAATGTGAGATGAAAAACGTCCTCCTATTTTGAAGTCGATTAAAAAAGAATTGCTGTTTCCCGTAAGGTCGTAGAATCACTATAGTCGAGCAGCCCCGTATATGGGACTCCAATCAGGACTCTTCCACGGTAAAACCTACTACAATTTAGGTACTTTTTTTTTGTTCCATCTGAAACCGATCACACACCCAAAAAGGATTGAGGTCAAGCCGGCGGTAATGTTGCACATTGCGTGACTAACACTAGGTTTAGTGATAAAAATATGAAACAAGTTATGTTTGTAGGGTCAAATTATTTTTATTTCTAGAGAATAATTTCATAAAACATATTTTTTTTACAATTACATAGGTTATATTTGTAAAATATAATATTCACATTAGAAATAAGAATAATGACGTCTATTCAATGTACTACAAAAATAGTTATACGCTTACATAAAGCACACGACTCATTCACTTGATTTGATCTGCGAATTTCCAATAATATTCTGGCCGATGTTGCTCCGTTGGTGTTACTTGCAGTACTGTTTTGGTTGTATAACTATATACCAATCAAACTTGTAACTATTTAGAATGTAATAAAATTTTAAAAGTAAATTGGTATTCCGTGTGGTGACGGATTAAGAATATGGACTGTCACCCCTATTCATCCCCCGGGTGTCGTAAGAGCCGACTAAGAGAGTAAATTAGACCTAGTCCTAACTTCGACTCCGTCCTTTGTCCGTAGTCATGGCCAACACCCCGCTCCCGGTTTTTACCAACATGACCTCATCTACCTCTCCTATGCCCTGAAACCTCCTAAGCACCGCCCTCAGTTTCGCCATATTCGCTGCTTCGGACGGATGAGTGAAGACAAACTACGCAGCGATGCCTTAAAACTAGATTGGAAGCCCCTAATCGAGGCGTCTACAGTGGACGACAAGGTTCGCATTTTAATAATATAGTCGCAAAAATTAAAATTAAACGCTCTCCTGCTCCCTGGATGTCAGTGGATGTCCGTGAAGCAATGAGAAGCAGAGACAAAGCGTTCCTAAAATTCCGGAAAAACAGGAGCGAAGCAAACTGGTCTCTTTATAAAGTTGCAAGAAATCGGTGTAATCAGGTGGTGCGCAATGCTAAACGCTGCCATATTATTCAAAACCTTAATTACTCCTCGCCTTCCCAAATCTGGCGATTCCTCGGTACCTTGGGCATCGGTAAATCCGGGAAAAACATCTCTTCAACGACCTTTGATTTGGATGACATTAACCGACATTTCACCACTCTTCCGCAATTTGATCACCAAACAAAGTGTCTCACCTTAAAGTACCTGGCTGACCTTCCTCGCCCAAATATTAATTCCTTTCAATTTTCTCCAGTTGCATCAGATGACATAAAAAAGATAATCCTCTCCATTAAGTCCAACGCCATGGGAAGTGACAACATAAACCGTCGTATGATCACACCTATCCTCGAACATCTCCTTCCCGCGCTTACGCATATAGTGAATTATTCACTCGATTCAGGGACTTTCCCTTCACTGTGGTGCAGTGCTTTTGTAATACCCCTCCCTAAGGTCTCTAACCCTACCCTTATAAATCACTTACGCCCAATTTCCATACTTCCCTTCTTATCCAAAGTGCTCGAGACGTGTGTACATCAACAGTTATCACAATTTATCCATCGGAATAATTTACTAAGCCCTTTTCAATCGGGCTTTAGGCCTGGCCATAGCACAACTTCTGCACTCCTGAAAGTGATAGACGACATTCGGGCAGGAATTGAGAACTCCAAAGTTACCGTGTTGGCTTTGATTGATTTCTCAAATGCTTTTAACACCGTTAGTCACGATGTCCTTCTATCTATCCTTTCCTATCATATGATGTCATCTGATGTACTGGAATGGTTCTCTTCATATCTTCGAGGGCGCAAGCAAGCCGTCCGTGACGACGAATCCACCTCCATATGGTGTGATCTTGACTCTGGTGTCCCCCAAGGCGGCATTCTCTCTCCACTATTATTTTCTATTTTTATCAATCTCATCACTCAGAATCTTCAATGTGCGTACCATCTTTATGCTGATGACTTGCAACTTTACTATAATGCTGCTGCAGATAATATAACGGAGGCTATTGCCATGATAAACGGCGACCTGGAGACTATTAGCGGTTGGTCCTATAGGTTCGGTTTGACTGTGAACCCCACAAAGTGCCAGGCTATCATCTTAGGCAGTCCACGTATGACCAGAAGGCTAGATCATGAAAAACTACCATTCCTAGTATTTAACGGGTCAACCATTCCCCTAAGTTCTACTGTGAAGGATTTGGGACTGTTCATTGATTGCAACCTCAATTGGCAAACCCAGGTTACTAATGTCAGCCAGAAAGTTACAGGAACCCTGCGGGTGCTATACCGACTAAAGAATTTTTTACCTTCCGAGATTAAAGCGATGTTGGTACAAACTTTAATTTTTCCCATTATAGATTATGGTGATGTGTGCTACTACGACCTGAATGCAGATCTCCTCAACAAATACGACCGTCTTCTTAATAACTGCATTCGATTCATTTTTAATCTTCGTAAATATGATCATATTTCCTCCTTTCGTCTTAAATTAAATTGGCTCCCAATTCGTCAGCGTCGTCACCTGCGGGCACTAACGACTCTCTACACTATTCTCAACTCTCCTAACTCGCCTACATACTTGACATCCTCCTTCCAGTTCTTGTGCTCCAATCATAACAGAACCCTTCGCTCTACAAATAATCTTCTACTCTTATGCCCTGCCCACACTTCTGCGTGTGTTCATTCTTCCTTCCTCACTCAATCTGTACTTCTATGGAATGCTCTTCCCCAGGATATCAGAATGGCGACCAGTCGTAATTCGTTTAGGGCGAAGGTGCGGGCTCTTCTTGACCGGAATGTAGCGGAATCATCACAAATATGATACTTTATGTATTATGGTATGTATGTATGTGTATATATATATAACACAATATATATGAATATGAATGTATGTATTCTTGTATGTATACGTTGGTATTTATATATTATTTCATTGCTTTTTGCTCAGTATTGCTATCATTACTTCTTTTATGTCCACTTTATAATTCTCAACCAAAGGGTAGTGCACCTCCACACTCATTTCCACACCACCCTAAGGTAGACTGGTAGAGAATGCCTATGGCATTAAGTCCACCATTGTACTTGTGTGCATAAAGTTGATAAATAAATAAATAAAAATAAATTACGCAGGACAACAGATCTGCAAAGAGAAGGAAAACTTGACACAAACCCTGTGCCAACTCGTCTGTACAGCGTGGTATAGTAGGCCTAAACCTCCTTTTAGGCCTATATCCAGCAGTAGACTATTTAAGGCTTATTTAACGTTTCGTTTAAATTTTTTCTACTTTTTTTTTCAGTATGTTATTAAAACCGATTTGTTTTTTGAAGAGAAAACTTCTTTAGGCGCGTTGAGCATATTTGAAGAACAAACAAAAAAA